AGCATCGCTTGCTGCTGAAAACAAGAAAAAAGCCGGTCCTGCTATGGGCTGAACCATTTGTTACTGGTGCAGGGGGGACACTATGCAATATTTTCAGTTTTAGCATTTATATTCACTGCTGACTGTAACTACGCTCAAACTGTTAATGCTGTTTTATTTTAATAAACAACACTGTCATGTGCAAAACTGGGGTGGCAAGGGATCATTTTAGGGTGGCACTTGCCACCCCATGCCACCCTTCTAGATCCGCCCCTGGCAACAGATACACTTCTGTTTAGTCACTCCACATCCACGCGGCGCTGACGACTGCTGCTCTGCAAAGGTGCTGCTTGTGCTGCGCTTCCCGGTAGCCGTTAACACACAGAAAGGAAACCGTTAAGTTTGTGCTGCCGTCGGGCTGACGGTGACAGGACGGCATCGGAGCTTTGTCCTCCAACGTTAACCCGAGGCACCGCACGGACCTACAAGGATTCGTGCTGTTTGTCAGTGACATACTAAATTAGTTAGAGTGATCTCAGATCAGTGTGTGCCTAAATTTATTCACAGAACACAACACTTGAATTTTACTGAACATACGCTAAAGACGGCAGCTAATAGAAAATTTACTGAATTGAGCAGAAACGTCTTTTTTCATAAACAGTTCAGTAGAAGTCATGGTGTACATGATGAGAGGTGAAAAGACCAAAGCCAGTCTGTTACGCAACTAAAAGTGTGGAAGCCTCTTTTTTGGTGGAGGTGAACAGTGTAAGCGCTCTGCTACAGTGTTTACAGTCCCGTCTCGTCTCTTCATGACACGGAGCAGGCGCCCGGGACGGGAAACGTGCGGTCCTTCACATTATTACCTTTTAGACCTCGTCCTTGTTTCTGCATCAGGCGAGCTGTAACACAATTAGTGGTTTAGGACCAATCCCAAGTAACAGAAGACAACTGCAACAGTAGGCGAGGTTGAGAGGACAAGAGGAGGACAAGGAAGTAGCAAGTAGTTCATATTGATGGCAAATACTTCATTCCTATAGGCTGCGCTGAAGGACACATCTGTGGGTCGTTTGTTTGCATTGTTGTGCTGTGTGGATAACACAATCAGTGGCCTATTCAGCTTTGAGAGTTGGGGACAGCAGTGGGTGCACTTCTGGGCAGCAGGTGGTGTCACAAAAGAAATGTTAGCACCTTTTGCCATGTCATTGCCACAGCAGCACAAAAAGCTGTTGAAATGTCACAATGGCAGCCAAACCGAAGTGCCAAATCTTTCCCGTGTTAGGTTTAAATGAGCTCCTGTGGCCTGTTTTTGCTGACTTACTTGTACTTTGGATTTAGAAACCGGGTTTTTCTTGCAACCTTTTAACATTCGGTCCCTGCTATACCGTGCCAGCTGATGTAATGTGCACTCAGGCTGCTGAGCTGGGAGAGATGTCAGAGAGCTGGGGGGACATGACCGTAACGAACCGTGATAGCATCAGGCAGAGTTTATGCCGGTACACATCAGCGTCCTTGCACTCACCGTGCTTTAACCTTCCAGTCTCTGTTCAACCAACATGCTGGTACCAATCAACACTCGCTGTACTGTACAAGTCGCCCACATCTACTAAGCTGTTATCTGTGCGTGTGCGAGTTTGTATGAGCGTGTGCCTGCGCGTGCGTGTGAATGCTGCATTTTATCCATCACTGTGCATAAAATGCATCTGCTGTAACTCCCTCACTGTTGTCATAATTTATTGGATGTTGTATTTATACATGAGATAAAGACAATAAAGCATCACATGAGTAACTTGATATGGGTGATTATTTTTCTTGGTCCTGTGTGTGTGTGTGTGTGTGTGTGTGTGTGTGTGTGTGTGTGTGTGCATTTAGAGCAGATTTGAATGTAAATGTTTTCCAGAATATGTTTTGCTTTCCTCCACGAACTATAATTTTTTATTGAAAATATGGGCGAGTCCTGCCCGAGCAGGCCAAATTAATACTGTCACAGTTTGTTGGTGTTCCAGTGTGAGGCCCAGATGAAGTTTTAATGTGTGTCTATGACTGTGTCGACATGCTCAGTCGGGGTAACGTGTAACTTTGGCCTTCTTTCCATTTCCTCCCTGTCACCTGTTTCCTCACTCTCTCCTATTTCCTTCACCCATTCCCCTAATCTCCCCTAATCCCATTTTCCCTCTTTATTCGTGCCTCATTATTTTGCCCCCCCCCTCCTTCTCCCCGCTGCAGAATCGCATGCATGAGTCTTTGATGCTGTTTGACTCCATCTGCAACAACAAGTTCTTCATCGACACCTCCATCATCCTTTTTCTCAACAAGAAGGATTTGTTTGCAGAGAAGATCAAGAAATCTCCGCTCAGCATCTGCTTCCCTGAATACACAGGTACGAAAAAAGTTTGGGTTTATTCCAGTGGTGGCGGGAATCTCAAACAGGAACGTTTGGAATTTGTTTTCCTGAATTAAAAGTGTTTACAGGACGAAATATAGTCACGAGAACGACACATCTAAAGTTCATTCATTGAACGTAGCCAACTGCAAAAACAGAGCGTAGCACGAACTCGGGCAGGCCACAGAGTCGAGCTCAGCAGATCAGGTGATCTCAGCCCACGTCAGCTGACACATTTCTACACATCCGATGTAAGATGTGCTTTTTGAATCGCTTTACAATGTTGGTGTATATTTGCAACCCACTCAACCCTCTAATTGAGCTCCTCATTTAGTTTAATCAGTTTACTGAAAAGTTATCTTTTAATAGTCCTGTGATGTTGGTTCTTCCTGTCTTTATGTTAAGCTAACTGAAAGCTCAGATCAAGTTTCACCAAATTTCAAATTGCTTCATTTGAAGGAGCTTAATCTTAAAAATTGTGTCGTACAAAATCATTTGGAAATTTGCATGAAAATCAGTGTAACAGAGCCGAAAATAGGCTAATACTGTATGAGACATTTTGAAGAGGGGATATAAAAGTATGAATGACTACCATCTGTCCTGTGTTAAGTGTAATTCCCAGAAATTAAATGCTTTCTAAAGCCCTTCCTGAGGTTCTGGATGCTGATTAACGACTGCTCGGTACAGTACATCGGCTCTGCTTCTAGCCCTGACATTTACTGTCACAGACTTGTAAACAATTCGAAGCACTTTAAATCAAAGTTGCTGTTTACAGTTTGCAGCAGAGATGGCCAACGAACTGTTTAAAGAACTGCAGAGGCTCAGGTTGAAAAGAGAGATATACTGTTTAAAAGGAAAGCAGGGAAGGAGCAGAGGAGAGTCAGATAAATAGAGCAGGAAGGAGCAGAGAGACCCAGAACCTGTAACGGGCAGAACCGAGTTTACAGATTTCTCCGTGTGGAGGTGAGAGTTGGACGAGGTGGTGACAGAGAAAAGGAAGAGACTGCTTATAAGAAGCAGCAGACAGTCGTGCTTGGTCAGCCGCAATAAGTGAGAGCTGCCTCCTGCCTACTCCAAACTCCTTTCCGGTCTCCAAGTGGATCCTTTTCAT